GCAGGTGGATCAGAGCAGCGGGGGAGGAGGGGGGACAGCGGCAGGTGGATCAGAGCAGCGGTAGGGGGCTGCACTGCACTGTGCTGGGGGGAGAGTGAACCGCACCTTTGAGGAGGAGGCGATGGAGTAGTATCGCGCCTGCAGCCGGGGCATCAGCTCACACAGGTGATCAAGGGGCGGTCGCAGGGACGGCATGTCCTCCAGAATCGCCACGATGTTCCTCCGGGCGTCGGGCACCCACTGGTGGTACAGAGCCTGAGCGGGAAACACACCAGTCACACTCCCGATCAAGGCGAGGCCCACCGGTCTGACCGCTCGCGACAACAGACTTGGGGGGGGGGGGGGGGGGGGGGACGTAAATGAAAACGGTTTCCGGACTGCGAGGCGTCAGTCCTCACTGTTCAAGCTGCTCCACGCCTCGGCCCGCCCACCTCACCTTGCCCTCGGGGGACGAGGACGCCATCTTGCGCAGGGTCTCCTGGTCCTTGGGGTCGGTGGCGTACTGGGCCAGCTCGTACAGCACGTTGGTGCGCGGCGGGTTGCTGATGTCCAGGTAGTGTGTGAGGGCTGTGCGGTACGAGGTGGGACAAGGGAACGGGTGCTTCTTGTTGGACTCCTCTGGCGGAACAAAAGACACCAGCACAAGACCAGTCACATGGTACAACTTTTGCAAGCTTCTGTTTGACATCTGACTACAGAGTTCCTGCAGAATTTCCTTTTCCTTTGTTGTGGTGCGTGTCCGACGTTTGCATTTCCTATCAAGAGAAATAAAAGGACCTGTGCAGCATTTGCTGTTCTAGTTCCTAAGCACAGCAGTTCCTTTAAGATGTGGATCTCATTTTTCACATAAAGCAAGCTTTTTTTTTAAAAAAAACAGAAGCTGACAGTTACAAGCAATCGATTTCACAACGCGTGTCGAATCCCGTATGAACACATACCATCAAGGTTGTTCAAAGAGATTACAGTGTCAAGGTCCACACCGAGAATTTCTCCAATCTTGTTAACGATCGCAGCATTGTTCACGGGGTACACGGCAACATGATCTCCAGATTCATATCTGCAAAGAGAGAGGAGCGGCGCTATACTTTTAAAGCTAATCCGGGTGTTTCAAATATGCTTTCCTTTGAATAGGTATTCTATGACATTAACCAACAAGTGTATTACAAATGCAGAAATGAGTGCGCACGAGTAGCCAATAAAGCATGAAGTAATCATTTGTTATGTAACAAGGCAAACTTCAACACTCTCTTTCGTCACAGTTTCAACCACTGAAAGACGAAGGACACTGGTGAGGAATGGACCCCATGCCTTCTGTCCCAGATGTCCCTGAGTGATACGGACATGATGTCATCCAGAGAAGGGAAATCAAAATGATCTTTGTCGTTTTAAAAGAGACGTTACGATTGCTCAAGAGGAGTGTCCACACAGACGACACAGCTATCACCAGTGTCATCTTGATGCAGAACAAGTCATCTGCACCTGGGGTCTCTGATGCTAATCTGGAGAGCTTCCAGTTATTCTTGTAGGTCACCCTAAATCAAGATCAGGAACATGAGCAACCGATCAACTGAGCAAAGGTTTTAACGAAGGGATCACTGGCCTTGGGGGGCTGAAGGATGATGATGATGATGATGATGATGATGATTCTGATTTATGTTCCAGATCTCCAAATTACTCCACTAAAACACCACCCGTTTACCTGATCAGTTAAACTGATCCAGGCATTGGAAACTCATGAGTTAAAGGCTGCTTTTAAAACCTGCTGCTCTCACGGATCAGTGTGGGGCACTCCGGATCTACATGTACTCTGCTGGCACAGAGGCAAACAAAACACACTGCCACTCTAATCACCCGAACAGTGATTAGAACAGTGATTAGACACTGTTCAACAATAAAAGCTGATAAACCGCAATTAGATCAAGGCCAGACACGCAAAGGCAAAGCAGCTCCCACCCAGCAGGATGGCTCTGCAGGTGCGGTGGTGGCACAGTACCTGATCTTGGAGCCCGTGATGTCCAGTTCAAGGTGCATCAGGTGACGGCTTCCGCCCCTATTCAGCTTCCGGTTGACCGTGACGGAGGCCAGGAAGGGGTTCTTGGCATCAAAAGGCCTTCAAAGTGCAACAAGAAACAGAATCAGAAAGTCCCTCTCTGCTACACTGGACAGTTCCGGACATTTCTCCCCCCATGTGCCCTCAAGCAGAGATCTCTTTCAGCTAGGCAGGAAAACACAATCTTTATAAGCAAATACAAAATAGATGCCCCACCTTACCTATAGAAAGTTCCTGCAATAAAAAGTTGGAAGCTGAATTTTCATCTCTGTCAAACTATTTCTGCGTTTGCTTAGTTCACAGTGTTAAAATAGATTAGTGCACGTATCAAATAGCCTCCTTTTTGTTTCACAAAAGCGTGGGCTCAAGCATACCAGGAGTGGAGCAATAACCAGTTCAATATCAATCAAACCAACAACACAATCAAGGCTGAACGCTCTTCTACAGCGAAGCTGTGCTCAGAACGCAGGCTGGTGCCAGAGCCATGGTTATTAGTGCTTTTAGTCCTGCAAGCAGCAATACGACTTTAGAAGTAAAAGACTCAGGACTCGGTTTTACGAGGCACAGAGGAGTGCAGTAACTTCAAAGCACACTGACCCCAGAATCACAATTAGCTTACTAGAAATTCCAGTAAAACCCCGCACAACAGTACTGCACATTCATTCAATATTTTTTCTTTCCCCATCATCAAACGGTACTGCACATCATAAGACGGGATCATTTTCACTCCTCAGGTTTCCATAGAAACAGCTCCCAGCACGACAGGCACCTGGATACCAGGCCCGGATGTGAGAAGCGTGATGCCGAATGAAGCCGGCACGTACGCCTGAGCTATACCTCTCTCGCCGTTAATAAAACACACGCACTTGCGTCTCCAAATGAGTCCTACTGGCCTTAGAACAGGATATCACTCGCAGAACTGGACCCAGTTGGAATCCAGAGGAGCAAAACTGGCTTTAGTACTTACAAAGCTGTTGAAAGATTGACTCACAAGCTGCCCAAAAGCTAAACACCACAGTACAGCACCTGTTTTATACGTTTAATGTCTTCATTTATATATAAAAAGCAAATTTTACATTCAAGAGTAGGGGGGAACTAAACCTCATATCTACCTGGTCTGTCCCTATCCTGCCTTCAGAGAACCAGAAGAGAAATGTTAAGCACTGTCCTGTCCATTTATCACAGCTGTGAGAGGTATACAACAGTATTCACTCTGTGGTCTAAGAGCCAATGGTCCGGATTGGTAACAGAGCCTTTCAGAATAGTGCCAAAATCAAAATTAATTTAACCCATTAACGGAACTGTGAAACTGGCATCTTAGACAGCCTGCCAAGCCTGGCAAGCTCGGCCTATCCAGCAGGCCACCAGCGCTGATGGGATTACAAAGTAGCCTGGAATCACATCACCTCTGCCCAGCCAATGACAAATGAGAAGGATGCAGACTAGAAATAAAGCACAAACACTTCCAAAGCCAAAAGCTTCAAGACTGAAATAAACAGAACAGGGGTAGCATGGGACTGCAATTTTCAGACAGAGCCAATATCCCTCTAAAAGTTCATTTTCCCTGGGTACCGCAAATCTGACATTTAAGTGGATGTTAGGGAGGAGTCCTTCAGTCTGGACCTTCTTCTCCACGCAAGTGACATTTGAACAGGGCTGCCATCTGGCCTCTCTAATGTTCAATTAGCAGCAACAGGCCAGATGGGAGCCCGGACGTGAGGTCAAAGCCATCGCAAGTCTGTACTCACGGCTTCTGCGTCTCGAAGCTCTTCAGGCGGCCCATCTCCCCCGTGTACACCTTGTTCATGTTGACATCGGTGTGGACTACCAGCTCATACTGACGGATGCTGAAAAACACAAAGCCTCACAGTTACACACAACACTTGCGTCAGCTTCTAGAGAGCTGCGGACAGTCTCGGCTGTGTGCTCACATGGCCGGAGATGCTGCAAGGCGCACAGCTTGGCAACATGGGGCTGCCCCCAAGAAGCTCACAGGCAAGCTTCCAGTGAAAGCTGCATCCAAGAGAGCAGGGTTATATGGCTATAAGACGGGGGTCCCCTGTCCTGGTCCTGGTGAACCACACAGCTTTTGTTTTTTTGTTCCAGCCGAGCCCCCAGTTACACAGGCTAACCCTTCACTGACTTAATAATAAGATTAGTTTGAACTGCTTGTTCCCAGCTCTTAAGCACGTTGGATCCTTAACCGTTGTATTTAATAAGTGAAATAAAATGCCAAACACTTGTGACTAGATGGAACATGCAAATATTCAATTGAAGCAGCTTCTCAGATCAAGTGAGGCTTCAATGATCTAGTTAAGGTGGGGCATGCTGGAGTGAACACCAGCAGATGTGTGAGGCACAAGGACCAGGACTGGGAATCGCTGCTATAAGATACAAGTAGCAAACCTGGATTCCTCTCCAGTGGCCTCCACTCCAAAGTGCTCACACACAGCCGGCCAGAACTGCTCTCTCCAGGAGACAAAGTCCTCTTCAAGGCTGGCGGGAGAAAGACCAACATATCAAAACCTGCACTCAGTGTACAGAGGAGCAGCTGCAGAACAACTCCCTCCATCAGGTTTCACCCGTTCAGAAATACAGCTGACAAACACTTACACATCTGAATAAAACATTCATAAAATGCGCCATGTGGCATTGAAGGTACAACATGGCAACCACAACAGCCAAGCAAAGTCGTAGAAGAGCAAATACCTAAGTAGACTCTCATCAAATGCCTACAGGCACTGATAAGATTAATGTGATAAGTGAAAGTGCAAAGCACTATCAAGTTTCACTCCTAAGAATTAGTTAAATACACGCCTATGGACATATAATTCTTCAAAAATCCACAGGGGCTGCAACACTGGACTTTCACACACTCAAAAACAAAGAAAACGTCTGCAGCTAAATAAAATGTGTTGGACACTACAATAAATAAATATTCGTCTGAGCCAGAGACGGGCAGCTCCAGCCTTTGAGAGCCACACCCGTCACAGTTTTGCAGATATGTTTCAATGAGAAGCAGATTAAAAACTGAAAACACACGCTTTTTTGGCTTAACAGCCCAAATAATGAGTCGTTACTGAGTGTCTGAGATCAGAGGCGAAACAAAACTTAAAGGACTCTGCAGCGCTTGAGGACCGGATGTGCCCTGGCCAGTTACGGTCCATCACTCACTTGCCATCGTCGTCTCCCATGCCCAGGTCAAAGATCCTCTGGGCTCCGAGCTCCTCCAGCCTCTTGTCAACGTACTTCCCCATTGCGTTGTAGTGCTCGTACGTCTTGTTCCCCAAACCGAACACCTACACGGGCACAGACAGGGAAACGTGCAGATGACAAAATCTACTGCCACCGACGCTGAAGGTTTAAAGCAAGAGACAAGGCCGTAGCAAGAGTGGATAATGACATAGCTATTGCCACACTATTCAAGAAAGCTAAAAAATTTTATGTATAAAATCGGTTGAATTCTGTGATTTTTACAATAGGGATAGAGAGTGCTATTAGCATTGGGTCTTGTCATGCTTGGATCCAGAGCAAATCAGCTCAGTGGAGCCACATCTCAAACCGCAGGCAGCTTGGGTTCGAGTCTGGGCCAGGTCGCTAGCCAACCGTGACCGGATTCCCCACTCCCCAATGAAGCAGAAGTGCACAGCCAGCAAGGTGGCATGGCTCTATTGGCGCTGCTGCAGCTCTCCTGTGAGGCGCCATGGCGCCTGGATCAGGTCATGTGACAGAAGGCTCGGCCACTCATCATGCTGGTGGAGCACGTCTGTGGGCCTCTGCCGTCCCCGCGCAGGTACAGAAATCACTTCTGAGTGGGCTTACTTTAAAGAGGAACTGGCGATAGATATAAATTATTTGCAGGGAATAGTATTCCCATGGGCACAGGTTAAACACTACTCCAACCCACTTCTCTCCCATGGCTTGTACTTAGAACGTTTGCCTATCACATTACCCTGCAAAAAGCAGATTAAGAAATACTTCTAAAAGCTAACAGACTAAAGTATAATCGTGCTGTAATGAAGAAAAACAAGGGCAGCATAGAGGCGCAGTGGTGAGCACTGCAGCCTTGGGGCTCTGGGTTCGACTCTGGACCTGGAATCTGTGTGGAGTTTGTATGTTCTCCCCATGTTCTTGTGGGTTTCTTCCGAGTGCTCTATGGGCAAATATATACAGTATACACACACACGTGAATGTGTACAAGTGAGATTTTCACTCATCACTCAGAAACAGTAATTCGGACAATATGTTCCTCTGAATGCCAACTGCCTGCAGTAGTAACTTGATGCAGCTGGAATGAGGCCCTCCCTCACAAATCAGGTCACGTGTCTCATCTTCCATTTCAAACAAAAGGTGTGGGCTTGGGACGCGAGTCACAGTTGTTCTGCTTTTGTTGCGCATGATAAAAGCAATCGGAAAGTGATCCAGTAAGAGGCCCACTGGTGGTGCTGGGAGTGCCTTTTAAGGCTGTTCCCACCTCGAACCACCTCTTCCTTTATAAAGAAAGAGAGCTTGCAGGGCGTGTGAGGGTGGGCATTCCTGCCATCTTCAGATTGCGCAGGCCAAGTTCGATTCAACGTCCCGTTCAATCCTGCCTGCATACTCCCGCTGTGCTTCATTAGTCGGTGCCGAAGTCCCAGAAATGCGATTCCCAGCCAACCGCATGTAAATTGTTACAACATTGCCTTCCACAGAACGCCACCGCTCGCCAGCACCAGCTGAGGGAACATGCCAGCTCTGGACTGCTCAGCATGCTCGAGCTGGACCAGATGTTTTCACTTGGCAGGCGCACTGGTAGCTTGGAGAACTGCTGTGACAAAATAGAAACTGGATGGCCGGCCAGGATTTTCACGTGGGAAAGTTTCAAGACGCCGACTGACTAAAGGCTAAAGGCTTCTCGCAGTGCCTCCAGCACGAAGCCCTGCAGTATCACTGCTGTGGGATTCTCACAGGCGACCCCGAACCCGAACCGAGACCCACATGCTGACCACCTTCCTCAGCCAAGACGTGCACCTCACAAGGTCTCCCCTCCGAGCTTCAGATCCAATGGCATTACAGCTAAAGGGCCCCGCAACATACAGGACACAGGGATGAAGCCTGCTCAGACCCTGGAGGGGAATATATCTGAACTAGTCCAAGAGGGTAGCTGGGTCAGCAAGAAAAGAAAACAACGTTTTGTGTTTTCGTCAGCAGCAAAAGAAAAGAGAAAACAACGTTTCAGCCAAACGTTGCGCCTTCTTCTCTTTTCAGCATGGAATAAACGTATTACTTGTTCCAATATATCTGAACACTGAATATCTCAAATTACCCCAGAGGTTCAGTCACAGAGTGTTTTTAAACAGGACTGTACTTATGCAAAAAGATAATGGTAAGCACATTGTGGGCCAAAAACTGCTCCAGCGCTTCGCTGAATCCGCAGAGCGCGAGACCGAGACCCAGACGAAGCGGGCAGCCGCGCTCACCGTGTAACTGACGCCCGACAGATCGGTGTCCGTCTCCTGGAGCCAGTCGTAGAAGTCCTGGGCGTTGTCCGTGGGGTCCCCCTCCCCATAGGTGGCCATGCAGAAGATGGCGAAGGAGTTGTCGATCTCCGAGAGGCGAGAGAGCTCGGCCTGGGAGGCGCACAGGAGAGCAAGAGGGACGGGGATCAGCTTTGAGTTGAGCCACCACCTTGGATGAACCCTGCCTGCTCTCCCAGCGAGAACGGGGGAGAAACAAACCGCCACGCCAGTAAAGAGCCGGAGCGTCGCTGTATATCAGCACCCTCCATACGCCTGTCTGAAGGGCATAGGAGAAGCGCCGCACCAGGACAGCACGGGCGGGCGGGCTCCTAGACAGGAAGACCTCACCATGTCGTACTCCTCCGGATCCGCCGCCATGCCTCTCATCCCGTACCGGTGGGCGTCTTTGGAAAGCCGGTTGGCAAACTCCTCGGCGGTTCCCGTCTGGGAGCCATAGAACACCACGATGTTCTTCCCCTGGAATCCAGAACAGGCGCAGGTTTACCAGTCTCGCCCCTTGTGACCCTGCGTGCTAGGAACTACGGAGCTGGGACAGCGCAGATGACATTTTCTCCCCATGCCGGGGGGAAATGTTTCTGCAACGCCAGCACGAGAGGGAAAATGAAATTCCACTAAAGGGAGATCTACCAGGTTCCCCCACATATTAATACTGTGGAAGTCTGGGCTTAAATAAAGGTACTTACCGTTTTCTTCATCTTTTCAATAAAACTCGTTTCGCGTGTGGAAGGTGCCCTGAAAGAGTCAAATACAAGCGAAACAGGAATGTAAAAATCCACCATATAAGGCAGATAAAGACCTATTTACATCATCATATGTACGTCTTTTGAAAGCAGTTAGACTGCATCAAAAGGCTATCGGATGGTTTAATTCAATGCTCCCTTTTAAGAAAAGGCTAAATCAATTTTCAAGAGAATTTCATTAACTGACATGCATTACATCAAGCCTTATGTAGCTTCATTTTGTGGTATTGCACACAGATGCTGAATAAACAAAATCTTATAAAATAAAATATAAATATATCCACGGAAGAGCATGGATGTAACATTTGTAAAACAAACTCCCCCAGGCTTCATTGTTAATAATCCAAAGCAGATCCAATATGGGAGCTTCCTCCGGAGGGCAGCTCTGTAAACCAGCGCAACGCACGATTCTTCTGTCATCACATGTAACGCTGGCTCGTTAAGCCTCAATTCACACGCCCGTTTGCAAGAAGGCTTGCAGTAATCCTTTACATTAAGGGGAAAAACAATGGGCTCAACTCGGAAAAAGAACAATCCACAACGCTCTAGTGAGGAATCGAGAGGCTGGAGCTCCAGTCTTCCGGCCTGCTCATCTGCACACAACTGCACTGGATACACTCATGCAGATGCAAATGATGCTTGTAGTCCAAGAGCAGCGCCACCTCTCTCCATTGAGATCCAGCGGCTGCTAATGAGGCTGTACAACCCCCACAAGGTGTGCAAGATCCTGCTGCACACCTCCAGCCTCCCTGTGCATTAGCTACCCTCGGTCCAGCTGAGCCGCGATGTGCCGGTACAGACGCTGCCCCCAGACCGCCAGCCTCTGGGGAAGCTCTCACTTGTAAATCCTTCCAGTAATACGAGACGAGCAACTTTCCAGGAGAATGGCATAGGGGACTGCATGAGGCTATTTTCTTTCACAATACTAATTCCTAATGTCAAATTTTTCCATTAGAGAACTGATAAAACCACATTGTTTCTTGTCTGAACTAAGTTACTGCACCACGTTTTAACAGTTAAATAAGGACGAACTTGAAGGTATCAGATTTCCACTCACACACTGCAATTATGAGCAAGCATGAAGCTTTTCAGTAGTCCTGAACTCAGTGGATTTCCTGCTTTGCTACTTTAACAAGAAACCATGACATCTGCCAACCCCTTTAAAAACCAAACAGGCATAAATGTTCGTTAAAAACTTGCTGATGCCTTTTTGAACTAGAGGTTTGGTCAATGTTAAGATGAAAGATAACAGCATGTGCATAAAACAAAGAAAAATGCCATTCAGGGCGAGGTGAACACTGACTTTCAGAGGCTTCACAAACGGTATAAAAAATGCAGACATTCGAGTGGCACTTTAAGAGAGGAAAAAGTGCTGGAGGAGTGAAATGAAAGTCAGAACTGACCCCAGAAGAGACAGCAATCGTGCAGGATTTATGAAAACTTTTACAAGCAGCATGTCCCTCAAAGGCACAGATGTGCCCAGAATCTTCTCCACACTAACATCACAGATGCATTGCACGACTGCCTACTCAATTTCTTACAAAAGAGGTGGCTGACAAGCATTAACTTAAACCTGCTGATTTTTTCCTTATTAAAAACAGTCAGAAATCCTGTGAGTAACCGATCATCCACTTAAGCAGTTTAAAATTCCACTTTTCTCAGCACCCCGTTTCTTAAGGATCACACTCACACTCGGCCCCTGAAGAGCGTGATCCACATACAGCACATTCGTAGTTTTCAGAGGCTATTGATTGATGTGTTACTGTAAGGAGGGCGATGAAGGACGGCGTCGCCCCACTGTGCTCCCAGCGAACCACGGACTGACCTGTCTGCAGCCGCCTTGCTCTCCTTGGGAAGAGAGTACACACACCCCATGGCTGGTGCTCGTCGCCGTCAGCAACCCTGCCCCCGAGTCAGGGCATCTGAAGCTGCCCCTTCTTGCACGCAATTGCAGGAACGAACGGGCCAAAACCAAAAGACAGCTCAATGAAACTTATCTGCAGGCTCTTGCGTACTCCATCTTGCACATCGGGACCGCGTTTCTGCAGCTCAGATCACGCCCCCCCTCCTCCCCCCCGTCCACAGCCCACCCCCCATCCAGCTCAGTCGCAGAATGGCTCCGCGCGGGCCGCCATCCCTGCTCCCCGCGCACTCGCGCGCTCGCTGGCCCCGCGCACCGCCCGCGCGGCTTCACGAGGGGCTACAACATCTGGCAGCGAGAGGCGGCAGTGGGAAAGTAACAAGACTGTCTAATGACATTTCCCATGAAGCCCTGCAGCAGGCTCCGCACGCACAGGCTGCCTCCCGCCTCCCCTCACTCCCATTTTCCTCTTCCAGTCCGCAGGGAATAAGGAACGAGGAAAAAAAAAAAACTCCCTCCCCCCCCAAATCGTTACCCTGGCAACAGTTTATATCATAACCACTTTCTCTCTCCTTCCTTTTTTTTTTTTAAGGGAACCAGAGCAGAGCTGAATGCAGCTCATTTTAAGTCCCTTCCACAGAGCAAGGGTATTGCTATGGTAACCCAATCTATCATAAAAGGAGTCTGTCTGTGACAAGGGCCCTGCTCTATTCAGCATCGCTCTGAGGCAAATTAGAGATGGCTTCAGTGGGAATGAAAGGGAAAGGTTCCCACGAGCAGGAGCAGTCCTTTCTCTCTCTCGTTCCACAAGCATCTGCTGCGGTTTGCTTCGACTTCCCCCCTTCCTCGGGGTTCGAACAGGCCGCTGCCACCCCCCTGCTCCTCTGCAGGAACATTGCTGTTTCACTTGAAAGAAAAGAAGCCCTCTCTGAGTGCCGGGGATGCGGGTCTGCTGTGTGAAATTAAAGAGCTGCCCTGCGCTCTCCACGCCGCCTCTTCCTGCAGTTTTCACAGCCTCATGGAAACCATTTCCTTTCTCTTTCCCCCCTCCGCCACTAATAAGACTTCCAAACACAACAGGCAGGAGCAGACGGGATCTGACAGAGATGACATCAGCATCTGTGGGAGCCAGGAAGCCGCACGCAATACAGAACGGCTGCTCCTCGTCCCCAGAACTGAAGCACACGCTGGCACAAGGATTGTTCCTGACTGGACTCCACCATGGTGGTGAACTGAAGTACAGTCCATCAGAAAAGGATCGTTAGTACTCGTGGTGAAACTGTGTGAAAGTCTGGACCTCGAAAAACTATTTTCGAGATCAGTAGGAAAAGGGCTAAACTACAATCTGCATTTGTATCCCTGCCCTCTCATTCCGTTTGTAAGTCAGTACAAAGTGCAACACACTTTAAACTTTCCATGTGGTACAAACAGTCAAAAACATCCATCTTGAAGTCTGTGGACTTGAAAGTCTAGCCCCCAGGGAGACAGCTTTGTACTGTACATATCCGACACGCAGATGTCATGGGACGTGCTACACAGCAATACAGGTCCGCAGCTGAACTCCAGTTCTTAAAGGACTATCATCCGTTTAACATTGTGTTCCTTTTGTACTGAATGTCCCATTTTAAGAGGTCCTGGATGGCACTGCCTTGGAGAACATCAGACTAAATGAACCAGTCCAGCCCTCTGAGGCAGCATAAACACACTGGGGTACTGCATCCCTTTCCCTGACCACTGATGTTGCCCAAAGGCAACAGCTCACTTATGGCTATACTTATCTTAATTTTCTGATGATTTCTAAGATGTCCCCTTAACCTTTAACTAGGTTTAAAGGAGGCAATAAAGAAAATTTGTGAGCCCTGCTTAAAAAATTTGACATCCACAAAACAATTTGCCTGTGAAGCTTCATTCTTAATTCCATTGAACCAAATAATCCACTAAAAGATTTGAAAGCTCAAGAATGCCATCACCCTAACATAATTCTTATGTCCACTTAGCTGCTGGAAAACTGGAGTGCTTCCACAGTGTACACATGGGAGAGTGAGCTTCCTTTGCTCTGAATCAGATGATACGAAGCACAGCACAATGTGAGCCGATGGGTAGAAACTGAAATGCTGTATGTTGAATGACATCCTTGAAATCAAAATAAAATCACTAAGTTGTTGAAAACAGTACAAGATGCCTGACAAACTGCCAGAAAGATTGGTCTTCAAGAGCTGAACCGGTGTCATTTCTGGGTTTATTTGGTTTTAGATTTCAAGGTGTTGATGCTGGTGACCATGTGGCAGAAAACACTGAAGCATGTCGGCACATTATGTATTTAAATGCACTCTGGTAATGTGGCCCCTTTTCATCCTTTAACCAGTCACTGCAGAGCTTGCTGAGGGCTCCTTATGTCAAGTGTGCACTTCAGAAAGCTTAACCACAGTACAATAGAACAGGTCAGCAGAGACTTGGATGAAGGAGATAAGAGCCCTCACACCTTCTTGACTAAAGAGACCTTTGTGTGCAGTGACGTGTATTCAGGTCTTGTGTGCTTATGGGAATGGACCACACAGGCCGACCCATTCAAATCCCAAAATCTTTCCGATATCACGCATGTTTCAATACTCATCACATGGATCTTTTACCTCAAAAACACAAAACTTATTTTAATGAAGAGGCCAGCACAAAATGACTTACCTTTATTCATGACCAGTAGCATGGTCGTGGTAGTTAAAAACCCATTTTGAACCTGAGTTGTTCACAGGATTTCCTATTTTAAGCTATTCTGTGAGGATGATGGCAAAAATATTAGTCCACCATCACTGAAAGGTAAAGTTACAGACAAAAAAAAACTATAAAAAGGGTTCAACAAAGATAACTTACAACAAATCCAGAGCTAATAAAAGTTTTGAAAATAGGTTGTTACATCTAATAATGTTTACATTTGGCTACATACAGTATACAGATACTAAGCTTGTACTGAGTTAAATTCATATGAATAAACAACGTTTTGAGAAGAGGACAGTTCAAGTGACACCCAAGAGTTATATAAATTAAATTAAACTATGTACCGTGTTGCTTTGGACTAAGAATGGAAGCATATTTTTAAACGCGGCCAGAGGCAATTACTGATGGCCTCCCAGATGAGAGCCACTGTGCCGGTACTCAACACATTCCGGACAGCTAAACCATGACCCCTACTGGAGGAAGAGAGGCAGCACACTTACACTGTGGAGATCTTCTTGAATTCGGGGATCTCCTCCTTCTTCTTGCGGAAGAAGAACCAGTAGATGAGCACCCCAGAGATGATGGAGAAGAGAAAAAGATCAACGGAGCTGAGGAAGGACGTCTCCTCGGCCACGGGCTCTGGGGACTGGTTCTCCATCTCGGAATCCTCCACGGCACCAATCAGAGCTGTTAATCAGAGGGCACAGGATTCGGCTTAAGAATAAGACATAACATTTCCTGGGCACGACATCTCCTTGTTCTGAAAATTCAAAGATACTGATACATGTAAAAAAAATCCCTTTTTAATTGAAACTCAAAATTAACAGATCCAACACACCCTCCCAGCCTCCCCTAGTAACAAGCCTCTGAACAACAAGACATCTGCTGCAAGCACTGTCGTGCTGCTGATCGCAGACCAGAGAGCTGACCCGCTTAGCGGAAGTGAAACCTTATCTCCAAGGTGGGATTCCTAGAAGGAAGGATGTCTAAAACGGAGAGAAAACTGGATACATAGAGATATGACCCATCAAACTCACTGCATTATTAGTAAAAGTCTCACTCCTTTGGGTACCTTATACCTGAGCATTGAATGGAGCTGCCAGATTGAGAAAAGGACACGAGTCTGTTGCTGTCAGATCGAGAGAAAAAAAGGAATCTCCTCTGCAAAGTAAGTTTTGACTCCCAGCATCAACAGTTATTCCAGTATTGACCTGGTTAATGGTCTGTAAAGAAAAGCTACATAACAGCCTCAGCCCCTCTAAAGCACAAGATATATGCTTGTGCTTAAATGTCCTGCTTCTTGCAAAAACATAATTCCTTATCAGCAGGATATTGCTCATTAAACCACACTTTATCACACACAATGTTCGTCTTCATTTTTTGACAGGGCCAGGGTTACAGCAGCACCAGTAGTGATAAGGTTTAACGGTCCTGAGGGCCTGTGACTAAAATATGCATTTGATCCCAGTCTGACCTAACCGCACAGATTAAGATATACTGTTCTCAGATTAGACCAAAGAATTACAATATTCTTGGTGTCCTCAGAACAAAGGGACTCCTCAGACCTGGGTTTACAGACAGCGCTAACAAGTGAGTAATAAGGCTCAACAGAGCTCGAGGGATCGGTATGGTAAGAGCCTCCTTTCCAGACTGAAAGACAAGAACAAACTCACGCACTCAAACCCACTGAATTGCAGAGACGCCGCATTCCAGTAACTTCTCATGTTCCCCTCCTAGAATCAAACCCTGTGAAAGGCCTTTGGATTGCAGATAAGGAGGCTAAGAAAACAATTCTATCGCTCTCCATATAGCACCTCCATAGAGATATTGATAGAGAACCTGCAGTACACTGGGCACTCTTACCAGGAGTTACAATCAGTGCAATAGGAATAAAGTATACTAAGTCCTTGCTCAATAATAGACACTCATATGTAATCAGCCCTTTATACACCTAATTATTTATTCAGATATAAATTTAACCAATGACTGAAGTTAGATACTTATGAGTCATTCTCAAGAGCAGAAGGGTAACCTTCTATACTTAATCCACAATCACGATAATTCTATGATGTATGTCGGTCCATGATTCAGTAAAACAGACCCGAGTCTCGGGCTGCGAAACCTCAGAAACGGTCATTTCTGGAATTACACAAGTCTCTGAATATTTGAGAAAAAAAACCATCAGACTACTTCTCTATAAAGAAAGCATGTTTCAGAGTGGTTCAACAGACACGCACTCTCAAAAACCTTACTGCACATGTGAGAGTTGAGAATCAGAGTTAAAAAAACAAGGATAGATATAGCCTGAATAGCCCTTCAAAATTTTCATTTTTCTTTTTTCACCTTTTAATTGCTTGTTGCAGTAATCGCAAATACCAGTATATATTCAAATAAACCAGTTAAGAATGGAGTATGTAGACCAAATTAATTCAAATGACATAATGAATCAGTTAATATGCTTGACCCTCCAATTTCCTAATTCTTGAGAGTCTTGGTGTTTTGGCCTATGCCCTATGAGTCTTGTAACACTCTAGAAAAACTATTTTTTGAAAAGCCAAAATAAAAGGTAGTGTTGCCCCACTGTGATGGACTAGTGCCCTGTCTGGGCTGTGGCTCATCACCACCCTCAGTCTCTCAAAGCCAGATGGTTTAATGAAGCACGAAGCATCTTGAGTGCCATCTAACCCACAGAACTAGCTTCAGAAGGGTTTCTTTTTCCAATATCCCATTTC